TGTATGTTATAATTATTAATACAAAGATCGAACACTCAGAAAAAACACTCAGAAAAAATTACTTCGATCCGGTCGGATACGAACCGACGTCTTCTTGCATACCGTGCCAGACGCTATACCAACTAAGCCACGGAACGCGCGTAATCATTCATAGATTTCTCATAGATGGCGCTACTACTAAAAAGTCGTTGAAAAACCAAATACAAAGACACGACGCAAGCACATAGGAAAATTCGTGAGGTCCGTTGGTTCGTTCCGTGGCTTAGTTGGTATAGCGTCTGCCACGGTATTCAAGAAGACGTCGGTTCGAATCCGACCGGATCGAAGGAATTTTTTCCGAGTGTTCGATCTTTGTATTCATAATTATAACATACATATCTCATAGATGGCGCTACGACTAAAAAAGTCGTTGAAAGACCAAGTACAAAGACACGACGCAAGCACATAGAAAAATTCGTGAGGTCCGTTGGTTCGTTCCGATCGAACACTCAGAGATCCGACCGGATCGAAGTAATTTTTTCTGAGTGTTCGATCTTTGTATTAATAATTATAACAAACTAGTGGAGTAATTTCACAAAAAATAATTGAATATCAATTCAATAAATATTATTATATAATTAAAATATTGTTAAAAAACGCGTGAATTTCTGAGAAAACAATCGCTTTTCATTCGTTTGTTAAGCGCGACTCCCATAACAATGGACCAATAACTTGAGAGGGCAATCCTAATCTTCATACCACAGACCGTAACTCCTTTTTTTTTTCAGAGCACGCCACGCTTGATCTTAAGTAACTTTTGCAGCAGGCCATGTGGGCGGCGAGCGGGACAGCCTAAAAGCTTTACCAGCAGGCCGCGTGGTACGTCGTGATCCCACCAAAAACAGACGGATGTCACCACTAGTGACGAGATCGTAAGTTGATCTGGATCAGTTGTTAACAGAAGAGCCTCACAATTGGCTGTGTTCGCCGACGCGCAACTCATATCGTCAACCTGCTGAAGCAGCCTTTGACTGATCAAGACTAGAAATATACATCGAAAATGAATTTGAATTAATAATTGTGGTACGTCGGCGGCTCACATGGCCTGCTAGGGAAAATACATGGTGGCCTGCTCCACTTGGGTTTTTGTGGGCTGCCGGTGGCCCACGTGGCGTGCTGGTTAAAAATCGAAGATACGTAGTGGCCTGCAGCAGTCGAAGTTTTGTGGGCGGCCCACATGGCGTTGAGAGTGATATGAAATATAAGTGGTCTGTTTTTTTTTCTTGTAATCTTATTGAAATATTGATCACAAGCTAACATTATTTTCTGAACTTTAACAAATATGCGTACCAATTAGATGGCATTGTCTGTTACAATGGTTACAAATTAATTTAAAAATTAACGCTTGCTAACACGGGTAGATGGAGTTAATTGTAATCAAAATAAAAAATAGCCGGCAGTGTCCATAAAAAAGTATACAATAAGCGCCATCTAGTTGATTTGTTTGTTATCACTCAAAATTAGAGTAGCTTTGACAAGTTTATTATTATTTCCTTAATGGCGGCCACCAGGCTTGGGTCAGTCTCAGTTTCGATGAATGCAACCAGTTCATATTGATCAAGAACGCAGCAAGGTATTTAATTTTGGAAGAACCTCTTCGACGAACTGCTGTTGTGCATGTAGTTGTCAAATTAGTTACAAAAATAGTTATTTGGTGCTCGTTGCGACATCTGGTGTACCAAAAGGTACTAAAAACTCGACTAGGCTTTCTTGTACCGCGATTAGTAGTCCTCTTGGGGTGGAGCAATCTCTATGCCGCCAAAAGACGGTTTGGGAAATCCCTTATTTTTGAAACTTTATTATTATCACAAATTATAAATATAATTACAATTTTTCCGTTCGATCAGCAGGACGACTCACCTCTTGTAAACAAGAAAACGTGCCATTAGTGGCAAAACTCGCTCATGAACGATGCAATACGTTGACACGATGTTCTTCTTCAGTATATCAATTGGAATTCTTGCTTGTAGTTGTTTCAATCTAAAAATATTTAATTTTATTTGAAGCACCTCGTATTTAAAAAAAAAATCAGAGTACTAGTAACAGAGGAAGGCCCCACAATTGCCTTCAATAGCCCACTGCTTGCACTGGGGTTTTTTTTTGTAATAAGTTAGGTGGTGGCACCAGTAACCAACAAGCATCACTGTTCGACATTAAAAAAAAAATTCTATTAATTCATTTCTGCTTTCTGCACAAACTTTTTAATGGACTGGGTAAAATGTAGTGATTTACACGAATGCATTTCTCTAAATGTCCCATATAAATCCAAGAAACAAAATAACAAAAACGTTTCAAACGCTCAAACAATCTTGGCCTTCAATCCCCTTTCACTAGAATTTTCAACGAGTTTGAATACCATTAACAGTAGATGCGTTTGAGAAAGAGATAGTAACACTTTGACGGTTCCTTTGTCGGCTAGCCGCGCTATAGATTTTGGTAGCACGCGCCGTGCAAGTTGCAAAATCGACGTTTACCGCAATTAAATACAAAATAAGAATTTAGGAATGTTTTTTGTGATTTACTTTTTTTAGTGATTTGGGTTCAATTTTGAACATAAAATGACCTCTGTAAATGTGGCGAGAATGCAAATAAGGACAAGATATTTTATTAATAACCTTGTATAGGCATGTACGCTAGCGTTGGTTTAAGGGATAAGCTAAAGAAAGATAATGTATAAAGAAAGATAAGATCAGTTACCTGATATGCTCACATAATTTGGGGAATCTCAAAGGAAATTCATTACTTCTCCTTATGATTTCATAAACATCATCTGATATACCCACATTGGAAGTGACTTTGCGTTGAACAAAGAGATCTTTGGTCTCCTTGTTAATGTTCAGAAGAGGCCAGTCCGGTTTACACCTAGAAATTATGTGAACGTTGTAAGTATCATAAGTACTCATAGGTAATTACAAAACCAAATATAGAATTCAATTAAAACAAATAAAGAGAAATACATTACCAAGATACATTTTGGAAGAATAAAATATCCGTGTTCTGCGAAATAGCCTACAAAAAAAAATGTTTTTTATATAATGAACCTCCATAACCTCCTAAGACTCAACAAACTACAATGGAGATAGCGCTAAACGTCTAATGGGCGGACAATGGCACATCAGACTACACATTTTTGTTCGAAAATCGCCTCCAGTGCAACGGAACAAGATACGCCAATGTGTAGCTTGATGTGCTGGCGTGTGTACATAAAAGTGTATGATGTGGCATAAGCTGAATGTGGTCCTTTTGCGTACGCCACAACCGACAAACGACAGTAGTAATTTGTAGTAGTTATATTGTATATTTTATTTATTGCTTTTTGTATGTTTTGCTTTGTTGTTTTTTTCTTGTTTTTGTATTTTTGATTTTGGTTTTTAATTCTATTTGTTTTGTTTGTCGAAGTATTATATGTGTTGTAACGTTGCAATAAAGGTCTATTCTATTATATGATAACTATACTTACATGGTTCGAGCGCAAGTAAGTTTGATATAAAAAACGTATTAGATTATGCTATCGTCATATAGAATACTATAGTGATAAATTTAAATGCGACTTTTTCATTATAATGTACACTGGGCGCTTACATGATTATAGAAATAATATTGTTTGGCTCTGAATGACTCCACATATTCATGTACACTTTGATGTGTACATAGGGCCTTAGGAGGATAAATAGGAAAACATATAATATATTTTGAATCTAACTTTTAAAGCACAAGTTCACCTTTAAACAGCGATCAGAGTATTCCGCCAAACCGATAACACCATTTCGTCCTGCGATCATAGTATTGTTGGCGCAAACACCAGGGTTAATATGAGCGTTGTGAAGCTCAGACACTTGCGTTGAGCAGGCTGCCGCCGAGTCACCTGATCCCGCAAGTAGACCCACCCTGAAATTTTGTGTTATTCTTTCCATTTTATCGTGGTTATAAAAAAGGTGATCAATGTCTTATGGATACCTCCGTGGTTTCACACCGGTTTTCATGGTGTCGCCAACTCTGAGGTCCCGGGTCCTATCCCCGGCCGGGTCAATGCAGAAAATTAACTTTTCTATATATCTAGACTCGGGTCTAGGTGTTTGTGGTACCGTCGTTGTTTCCGATTTCCATAACACATGTGTTTTAGTTACTCACTTCGAGATCAGAGCAACGAATGTGATGTTGTCTAATATTTATTTATTTATTATTATTAGCGCAAGTAACCTATAAAGGCACACTACGAGAAAGTGTGAGAGATAACTAAGGCCGTAATATTATTTTCTAACATCTCATTATATGCGTTACTTTTGAAATGAAAATTTCAAAACATTTCTCTCGTTTACTATACTTGCTTTTTACGAATCCTTAATTTCATTGTCTAATTTTTGACATTTGTATATTTATTTTGACCTAATTAAAATTATTTTAATTTTAAATCAACTTTAAAATATGTTAATTCCTCTTTCATCATTGACCTTTGTGATTTTATACCGGCAATAACATAAGGTTATGATTCGCGTACATCTTAACCTCCACCAATTATGTATTATATACCAATTGTTATGTATTTGTTCTCTTCAAAATAAGCTTACAGATTTGCAACATCAAAATTCAAAATTTATTACGTAAGCTTGTTCTCTTTAACAAAATACCGCCACAAAACTTGTTGAATAGCAGAACCTACTGATACACATAAAATTACTTAGCAGAAAATATGATATTGGCGAAAGTCTAGTTCCGCCAATACTGAACTGCCTCAGTGGCCAAATGGTTACCAGGTTGATGCTATTATAAGTAAAAAGATGAACATTTTACAATTATTATCAATAAACCCATATAACTACAACTGTGTTTAAGTTTTCGGCTGACTTAAATTAATGTATGCAGGCCTATGTGATACTATTAAAAAACGGCATGTATTTATTTATTTATTTTTTAATGTAAACGGTCATCTTTTTTAATGATTGATCCTCTTTCTCTGAGACAAAATAAATTAAATCGATCGATATTTTAATCAGTTCTGAGCTATGCGAAAAATGTACGATTTGTATAAATTAACTTTGATAGTTTTATGTTGGGCCTCAAAACTAAGACAAATGAGCATTAAAAATAAAATTTTAATACTTGTTTTTAAAACTAAGTAAATGTTGATTATATTTGTATATCTAATATTATATTAATTATAATATAATTTGACCCGAAAACGTGTTCGGAAACGCAAGCAAATTGGCTTGTGGCACTCGCCGGCCGCTGCCGCGGCACGCTTGCTTCGCTCGCTCGGCTCGTGCTGCTTTTTCATATACTAACCTAACCTACTGAATGGAGATGAACCAAGATTTATTAGGAGATCAATATCAAAAGATATACTGGTTATAAATGTCATCAATCGTTACAAGAAAAGACTAATGATAAAAAAGGGATGAAATATTATTTTTGAATACCGAATATTAATTAAGTATGCTTAAACATAATAATAGTGTTACCTTGAAAGCAGTTCATTTATAATTTAACCGTAGATCACCTAATATAGATGGAACAATTAATATATATCAAACATAAAAAAATATCGTTTATTTAAAAAGTGAAAAATTTATTTGTAACATCTGTATTTTAGCAATTCACACAATAAATGTTTCTGATTTCTGATTATAATAGATCAATTATTTATTTCAGGATCAAATAATATTATTCCTTAAAAAACACATTTTTTTCGTTTTTTTTTTATGCTCTAAGGAAACCCTGTATCGCGGGTGCCATGTAACACCCGGTTTAGTATGTTAAAGTGGTTGTGGGTAAATGTATATATATATACCTGCAATATGTTTGTATACCTACTGTTTGGCCGGATACAGTGAAAGTATACTTATTTTGTACATGTCAACTGCTATACAACCTGTTTTCGGAAATAAATTAAATAATGAATTATTTTCAATTATCAAACTCTAGTAGATAAACTTGTGACATTTGTTTTGGATAGAAAAGTGATACTCATTACGGGCCTTAAGTAAAGATGGCAATGAGGAACCCGTTAGTGTACTGGATTTACAATGTCAGTTAGTTACCAAAACTCATTCCCGGGATGCGCATTTCCGTCCCAAGCGTAAGTCATTACGAGCAGCTTCCCTTCGTGTTCGTCTTTCAATTTGGACGAAGGCTCCCGGTTCTCAAATTGAGTGTTTATACCGCCTGCAATATTTTCACAAATTAAAACTTTGTAGATTGGGATTCTTTCCGCTAGCCAATACGTTGCCACGGAAGTTGTGTTATTCTATTGTACTACAAATTATAATATTTTAGCAGATCTCCGAGAAGAATGAGTAAGAAACTCTAGGGGTTGCTCTTTGTAAGTAGACATTTGTCATGAAAAATAAAATTTCCAATAAATTGCCGACATAAATAAAGGAAGAAAAAGTCAACACAAAATTTATAAAAGCTTTAAATAGTGATTTGTTATGCAAGGCTGCAAAGTTGTTGTTTGACGTGAGTGCTCGTATTGGAATCTGAGCAAGCGAAGGAGCCAAAGATTAGCTTCGCTCTTGGTTCGAAAATAGAATCCTAAGCGTAGAGAGGGTTTCAAGGAACGAGACGCAAAACAACTTTGATGCCGAGCGAAACGTACAACTTTTCACCACACTACAGTGAGGAAAATGGTAGATGAAAGAAAAACGGTTGAACTATAACAAAATTAGTTATCGTTGTTAATTTAATGTTAACAATAAAACATACCAACGGATTTATATTACATAAATACTTTTTTTTCATCGAAAGAAAAATTTAGGTGCCCCACAGTCTGTCGTCAATTTCGAATTTCAGTTTAGAATTTCACGCTAGCGTGAAAATAAAACGCTTTTACGCGCAGATTTCTAAAGAAAGCCTTTCCAAGCTAGTGAGGTGAAAAAGTCTTTTAATGGGTCAATGTTAGTATTCACTGCAAGAATATGTAGATAAGAATATGTCCAATTAATTGCATAAATATAAATATTTATTAAATAGCACAGATAAATTTAACAAAGTATTTATTATAAAAGAATTATTAAAAACTTATGTAGTTTAAATAATGTAAATGTAAAATGTTGTAGAATTAAATAAGTACTAATATTTAATTTTTAGACATATAGTATAAGATAGAATTAGTTCATTGGATTGTGCCGTCTCTAAATATATATATTTTTGTACACTTACGAGATCCGTAATGTAATGTACCACCAAAACACATTATAGTCTAATAAAGTATCGAGTATGACTATTTGTACACATTTATCATTTACAATATTTACTCAAATATCATATCGAAGTATCCCTAAGGCGGTAAACGGGTAACTACGGATTAGACTGGAGTTTCGTCATCCAGTGCGCAGAAGCTGTAAAAATATAAACTTTTAATATAATGTTGTTGTATGACCTTAGTTTTAAACCTCGATATTTTTACCGACTTCAAATAAAGGAGGAGGTTCCCAAATCGACTATGTACTTCTTTGTATATATGTTACGCGATAATTTGTGAACCTATTTCGATGATTCTTTTTTGTTGGAAGAAAGACCCTCAGTATTGGTCTCATTTCAATTTGAAGAAAATATTCCACCTCTAAGGGTGGCAAACTAGGAGATGAATCCGGTTTCTCGCACTATCCGGTGACCGATTTCAATAAAACTTGGGAGTAGATGTGTTTCGATGAACTTTTGAGGTCGGGTTTTTAGTAATCTGTACTGATGCATGAAAAATTTTTTTTGCTCACTAACTATGTACTGTGGCGCTAGTGTGAGATTGTTATATATCTTTATACTTATCTCTCAACCATAGTGAATTATGTCTAATAGCATGTTTTTGCAGGTTAAGATTTTATTTATATTGGCGGCATATCACAAAGCAAAATATCGTACGTCATTAAAACGGTGAATGTAGCTTAAGTCACAATCAATCCAACGGTTTGTACGTCTGAAAGTGTCTTTTTTTACTATGCATTACTTACCTTTAGGATGCTTCGTGTTTTCAATAAAGTGTTTACGTAATTTGGTGTTTGTTTCGTCTTTGGTATATTGGCCTGAAAATGTAATAATAAAAATAATAAATCACGATAATTCAATATTTCACGTACTTAAGTCGAATTTTTGTTCGACATGTTTCGAACCAATTCGTGGTCCTTAATCATGAGATTCCGCGGCGGCGACTCGACGGAAACAGTTTTCGTCGAGTCAACGCCGCCGAACGAATTGTTTCGAAACATGTTGAGCAAAAATTCGACTTAAAATACGTGAGTTATCCGTTATTTTAGTTAATATGCTGAGTTTTACGGTGGTTTTCTATTTAAAACTCAATATTACCCGGTTTAGTAACCGATAATATAGTACCGTGATAATTTTATATGAACATTTTTTTATTATTGCCTATTACAAATATAGTAGTTACTGTGCATCCTTTGTACATATATTTCTTACCAATCACAGGTGGAGAAGGTTTGATATAAGAAAAGTTAATATCGGAGACATGGTTTAGTTTCCCGCTGTCCAGGAAAGTGTATATTCGCTCCTCGAATGTTGATACGTACACATCTTCCTGGTGGGGTGACATACGCCATTTGCCAAGACCTGTGAATAAAATAAAATACAATAAAAGTCAAAGCAAAGAATCATTTATTCCATTTGTAAAATAAATTTACACTTGAAAACATCACATTTAAGCTACTGCTCGTTCACTACGCCGACTTCCCTGAAAGAACAAGCAAGAGACTCTTTGGGATTGCTCTTTTCAAATAAACTTACATGCTATGGAATACACTTTAATCAAATTTGTGTGGATTCTGGAGTCATGTCGTCTTTCCATACATCTTTATCTAACACGTAGTCTTCAATTTTTTTTAATGTAGTTTTTAAACTTATGAAATGATAATTTTAATATATGCTCCGGAATCTTATTGTAAAAACGTATACAGTTCCCCATAAAAGAGTCGTTTACCTTGGTTAAACGAAATCGTGGTACCATGAGTTTGGACTTAGCTCTAATGTTAATATTATGGATACCTTTTTTCTTATTGAAATTATGTATATTTTTACGGGCATATAAAATATTTGAGTAAATGTACTGTGATGCCACAGTCATGATACCAGTCTCCTTAAACTATTCTCTGAGAAAAAATAAGTGTTTAAAAATTAACGATATAAAGAGTGTGAGTATTGATTTTTCAAATTAATTCTAGGCTCAACAAACATATTTTGTAAATATTATTATGTTTAATAATATTTAATATTAATATTATTTAATAATATTTAATATTAATATTATTTAATAATATTTTAAATTAATATTAATATAATTAATTTAATTTCGGACATAATTTCCTTATTGTGTTAGTTAAGTTGTCCCTATAAACTGTATTAGTAAAAGTCACAAATAGTAAATTACACTTCTAACTATACTTGGCATGTAAGCTATATGACTAGCCCAAGCCTAGTGGCCGCCATTAAGGAAATAATAATAACACCTGTTGACACAGTACTGGCACGTCATCTCTCTGGATCACCGTCCGAAGAAGACCGGTGGCGATGCCCTGTTTTTTATAAATAATAGACACATGCTTGGCCATAATCCTACCTGATGTCAAGCGACGATGTGATCGACGTTTGCCTAAAAATAGCCCCAAATTGTACTTTTCGGGAAACACAGCTAGAGTAGAGTATTTCATTCCTTTTCCTTATTCCACGCATCAGAAAGGAGGAAGTAAAGTGCTTGCACAAGAGAATTGTTGTGTTAATAAGTCTCTGTGCTTTTCGCTTCACCGAGTCCAAGGTAGCTGACTGGCAGAGCCGTCTCACAAGTGACAGCAGTACTCCATACACGATCGAACTCGTGCTTTATACAGATTTAAAAGCTGTTCAGGTGTGAAGTACCGCCTGACCTTGTAAAGTATGCCTAGTTATTTGGCAGCAGTTTTTGCCAAGCACTCGATGTAGCGCCCAAAGATAAGGTTGGACGATAACCAAACAGCTTGAGGTGGTCGCTTATGGGCACGGACACATCTCGGAAAGTCGGAGTAAGGTGTAGGGCACTCTGTTTTGATGAGAAAAGACACGCATGTGTTTTAGCCGCACTAAACCTCACCCTGTTCGCATCTCCCCAGTCGGCCACTTTCAGGCTCAGATTCAACCGGGTGACCATCGCCTCTCGTTTACATCGGATCTCTTCGCTGTTGTCTCAGGCGTCTGGCACATAACTCTCTACCACTGTGCTGTCGTCTGCATACCCAAAGATACCGGGCATCAGCAGCAGATCGTTGATATGCAGCAAGAATAGAATGGCGGAGAGGTCCCCGAGGTACACCCGCATTTATACCGCGAGGAGCAGAATAGTAACCATCTACAACTACACGGATTGACCTATCCTTCAGAAAATCACCTATCCATGTGCAAACGCCAACAGGACAGGCTATCATGTCAAACCCTATCAAAGGCCTCTGATATGTCGAGAGACCAATAATGTGTGGCATACGCAAGAAGATCCCAGTAGATCGACCACGGCGAAAACTCTACTGTCGATCACTTAGAAGATCTTGCCTCGCTCGAATCCTACGCATCAGGGAGGCTACCCGCTACTGAAGTATGGCGCTGGACCATCCACTCGCACCTCAGCGAACATTCCCGATGCGCTACAGTAGCGTGCCAACCCCGACAGCATTTTAAGAGCGTGTTAATATTGAACGCGCAGGGTGTGATACGTGTAAAAGGATTGGCAAAACGCTTTAAAAAGCGTGAACTTTACACTCTAGTACAGCCTACGAATCAATACATTACACCTCAAAGCCAACACCCTGCGCTCCCTGTCATGTTTTTTTTGTGACGGGACGAACATGTCATGTGCTTGGTGGTGAGCTACACCCCCGTCCATAACAGTCGCAGTGCCACTCAGAGCTTAAAATCGTAAAGATCTGAGAGGCAGTGCCACTGCGCCTGTCACCGTGAGACAGAAGTTGACAAGTCCCATGTACCTGTAATTTCATCAGCACTCTTACCCTTCAAAGCGGGAACGCAGTAATGCTTACATTACTGCTTGTCGGTAGAAATGGGTAATGTGGCAGTACTCTCCTGGACGAACTCTTTCTCAAGGAGCTTCTACTGTTACTAAATAGTGTAAATGTCATGTCGTCGGAAAGATTCTCCATCACCCAATGCCCTTAATACTTGAACTGCGAGATTCTACGTATTGGCACATCGTATAAGTCGACTGGCACCTCTTCGTATCGGCTACAGAAGCCTTCAACAGAGTTAATAAAAGCTGAATGGTGCCATGGGTTTGTGACGTGACGAAAGTGCAGAGGGAATTTTTTTTTTATGGTATGGTCAAAATGCATGAAGTTAATAACAAAAGAAAACTGAGTTAACATGCACCGTGCCCTGGTAGGCACAAATTATTTTTATAAGAAACGTGCCATCTATCTCTGACATCGGGATTTGATTTTGTCAGTTTTACCACTTTCTCGCGTGGCATATTTAGAGGAGGAATTAATTATCACTTTATTTATTGTAATAAAGTAGTTAATATATAATTGCAAATTGGTCGTTTATATATTATTTTTATTTATTTATTTCAGGCCACATGACCCATTAAATATATACCTTAAGGACTAACATACATACAATATAATAAAACACAATTTCTAATTAATCTACACAAATTGCACTTGTCGGCGATGAATGTCGCAATCTGGTGTCAGGTAACCAGCCGCGGAACCGCCGATATAAGACACCCTTCGGCCAAAATTCTTCCTTCATGAAGGTCGACAGATGTTCGTGTATTTGGCTTTATGTCTGATATACTCCACTATCTCCTCAGACTTCGTGGAGTAATGCAGCCGCGACAGGTGCAGCAGCGTCGTCGGTGAGGCCGGACGCAGTAGGAAGTTCGGTCCTGTCGGTGCTGTACCACGCTGGTTACGGTTGGTGGGCTTCCTCTTCTTCTCCTTCTCCACTTTTGTGAAGCCGTCCTCGTCGCACCGGTCCATCTGCCTCTATGGTTTTACAACTTCAGAGACAGGCACACGGGGATTACTTTTTCCCTTAGGAGATTGCCGCCGATCGTGTTTCAAAGTGGCCGTTCGGCAGCTTGAAGCGGCTACAGCATGCACATTACAAGTCGACTTTTAAAAAATCGATTGAAATGTATACAATAACGAGTTTTGTATAATTTCAATGCGATTAATTGATAGCGATACAACTCGATTTACAAATAGTGTAAATAGTTTTCGACCTCGATTTCGGGCGTTAATGGTTTTAACGTGATAAAAACTTTATAAAAATTAACAAAGGGCCTAAGTAAACGCACCTGCTCCAATAATGTTGAGGAAAGCAAATTTTCCTTCAGCCTGTGCTCTAGCTTCAGCTTCCATAAGTATACATTCAGCGGTCACACATAGTCGTTTATAGTACACAGTATTATCAAAACACTCTTCGTTTCCTGCCTTAAGTGAGACGAAACGACTTGTGTATAATTTGCTTTTGGAAGATTTACATATTTTCATTTTGGGTTTTAATTCGTCGTAACTGTAACTGGGGACCTAAAAAATAAACACCGAATGTAAGATACGTTGTACAGTCGGTGCCCACACTTAAGTATCCACTATTTATACTTAGCTTAGTACAAATAGTGGGTACATAAGTGATGACTGACTGACTGTACCATAGTACAATAAGACATGGTAACTCCATACAAACGTACCAGCGCAGATAGTATGTGTGTGCGCCTGTGTACGGGCGCATACATTCTCGTAATATACAGCCTCCTTGGCCATATGGCCACTATGCTGGACTGCCACGCAGAGGTCCCAAGTTCGATTCCCGGGCCGGGAGAAATATTTGTATGGTCTACATTTACTTCTCTCGTGAGTTTGGGTGTAATTTGTGATTGATAGACGTGTGTGTGTCCATGGCACCCGCGATACAGGATATCCCTAGTGCGGAGCTATGAGTGTGTGCGTTATTGTTGTTATTATAACCGTAGTAAAATAAGACAAGTATGGTAATGCCGTACAAAGCAACAGCGTGGTAAGTATGTGTGCGCGACCGCCGCGCGCCGCATACGGACGCATTATAATGAAAGGCGCGTTGGCGCGACCTGTGTCATGCAATCGTACACGTCGCGTGCGGGCGCGTACCCATAGAAGCCGCGCTGCTACTTTTGTATGGAGTTATCATACTTGTCTTATTATGCTATGGTTGAAGTCACCCCTGCGCGCAATTGATCGCGACGCAGGCCAACTATTAACTGCAGGCCATCGTTAATAGCTTAACCTGACGTTAAGTGACCATGAGGCCGAGACGCTTTAGTGTAAATTCAATCCAATTCACTCTATCCTTGAATAACCCAAAATTGTATTTTCTGGGAAACAAAGACATTGCCGATAGTGTATTCCATTATTCTGCCGCGCACATTAGGAAGAAGGAAGCAAAACGTCGATTAAATTTGAAAACCCGGTAAGTTCGTTTTTGGACGAAATCCCTTTTTTAATCTTCAAGCACAATTAAGGGCATTAAAAGCTTAAAATATATTTTGTAGATCCTTTTAAAGTAACAAAATAAAGGCATAAACTAGATACTCATATAATTATTTCTAGTAATTCTTGTTTACTAAAAAGTTCACATTAATGGGGGTTACGAGGTTTACGAATTTAGGCGACGAAAAGGCTTCGTGCGAATAGGTATACTCCGAGATGAAATCGAAGTCCCAAAATGTAAACAAACAACTGTCCCTATCAAAGTGACATCTATCGTACGTTTATTCACAGGTTCTACTCTTTATTAGGAGTAATAATTATAATGGAAAATATACCCTTTTGGGTTAAACAACTTTCAGAACAATTTAAAATAATTTTATGTAAAAAAATATTTTAATTGAGAAATGACGATATAAGGAAATGAGACGGATCACGGATCACGGACCCCAGACACGGCGGCGCAAAGAAAACATAACTCAGATTTTTTTTTAATTAGGAACAAACACTATATGGTTTTGTTTTTGATATCAGTGGCTAACATTCCCTTTAGTTTTTACTCCGGCGAAATAGGGTTAAATAATGTATTTTCATGTCAGTATATTAATAACCTAAGGAGCGTTCCAAGGAGTCCGCTGTTCGCTACACGCTCCATAGTTTTACAGAGTGTGTAGGCGATTGTAATACACGATAGACAGCATAACATATGTAATAATATTATATAGGAAACTTGTAGTGTTTTGCGATTAATTATATTGAGTAGAATTCTCTTTTATAGGAGTCATTTTTAAATTTCATCATCTTGTTATTTAAATTCCTAATATTTTTCCCAGAATACCATTTTACTTACCTGATAAAACTCCGACCACATCTTCCTCCACATATACTTAGCTTCGTCGGACTGATTCTCTTCAGAGCCATACCCTCTAGCAGGTACGTTCTGACTTTTTGATATTATTATATCTTCATATTCCATTTTAAGTGTGCGTTTAAATCGTGGGCCTATAATACCTGAGAATTGAAATTGTTTGTCATGTGTTGGACCCCTCGATAAGTGTTTATACACATAATAATAAAACACGGTCTTCCAAGATATCAGAAGAACGTGAGTTGACGTCAAACCAGAAACAACCCTAACCTATTTCTGTCACCAAGCAGTAATGTGAACATTACTGCGTTCCGGTTTTGAAGGGTAATGGTGCTGGTGAAATTACAGGCACATGGGACTTGTCAACTTATGTTTCTGAGTGACGGACGCAGCGGCAGTTCCCCTCAGATCTTTGTCATTTAAAGCTGTGAGTGGAACTGTAACTCCGTGAACTCTAACTGTAATTTGTAATTTTTATTTTGGTCCTCCTTAATTATGAATTTTGATCACTGTGAGTCGTTGTTTCCGATTTCCATAACACAAGTCCTTTAATTAGTTACTTTGCGATCAGAGACACGAGTGTGATGTTCTTCTTCTTCTATGGCCCTATCGAAGTAATGTCCAATATTTATTTATACAAGTACATTTTTTTCTAATTAAAAATACTCGCGTATTGAAAAAAACGCTTTAACAGTTATAACTTACCAATAATAACTGCATTTTCTTCAATATCCTGATCATTAACAATACCTTTATTGTTTCTTTCACCATCATTTATAGACTCAGTAAAACCACTGACATATACCATTGAAGATAGTTTCATTTCATCATAACTTAAACAATTCCTGAGTAGTAGAGGGGGTTTTTCCTTTGCAGTGCCAACTAATTCCCAACCGTTGCGACTGTAATAAATGTAATGAATGAATAGATAATTTCGTGTTTCATATTACCCAATAGAAAGCATTAGGTACAACTGCTGTCAATTGAAATAAAAAAGCATGTGTTAAATAATAATATTAATAATAATCTTTATTGTTCTTTCACAAAGTCTTAGAATATTTAAAGTAGTGACTTATCTAAGTAATGTTACATCATTAAATCTGTGTGAGAGACTGGCGTCAGTACTAGGATACCTGTATTACAGATCACCAGCCTCTCCACACTCCAGACCAAAAGGTAAGTACACTCGAACTTAGATAGCTATAATCTTAGTGAACAGTACTGGACTTAGGCGTGAGGTGAATGTGTGTGTCTGTGTGTTTGTCTGTGTGTGTATGTGTGTGTGTGTGTGTGTGTGTGTGTGTGTGTGTGTGTGTGTGTGTAAACTAGTGTGCAAAACCTTAATTAGCTATAAAGAAAGAATAAAGTATATTAATTTGATACTAATAATAATTTTAAGTTGGAACAATTAAGAGATTTTCAGTTTCGTCGTAGTTTAGATTTTTAAGATAATTAGTGATAACTCTTTTGCAGTGGAATTTGAAATGATTCTTTTAAATTTGTAAGTTAGAGTGTAATTTGTGATTCCCTAGTGCGTGGTTATGTATGTGGGCGTTATTGCTATTATAAGTAAAAATATGAACATTTTACAATTATTATCAATAAACCCATATAACACACACAGCGTTTAAGTTTTCGGCTGACTTAAATTAATGTATGCAGTTAACGTGATACTATTAAAAAACGGCATGTATTTAGTTTTTTTTATTTGCAAAAGCAGCAGGCAAGAAATCTAAACGGTCATCTTTTTTTAATGATTGATCCATTTCCTCTGAGGAATTAAATCAATCGATATTTTTTCTGTTCTGAGCTATTTCTATAAATTAACTTTGATAGTTTTATGTTGGGCCTCAAACCTAAGATAAATGAGCATTAAAAATAAAATTTAGACACTTGTTTTTAAAACGTAAGTAAATGTTGATTATATTTGTATACTAATATTATTTTAATTATAATATAATTTGACCTGAAAACGTGTTCGGAAACGCAAGCAAATTGGCTACTGGGTTCGCCGGCCGATGCCGCGTCACGCTCGCTAGCTCGGCTCATGCTGATTACTCACACTCTAACCTAACCTACTGAATGGAGAGCGCAGCAACTAAGATAAATTAGGAGATTAATATCAAAAGATATACTGGTTGTAAATGTCAAAAAAAGAGGATCACATATTATTTCAAAAATAATATTTGATCGTCTTTTTTTAACGATTGATGATTGAGCCCTTTCCGGAAATCCGGAAAAACGAATAAATTAAACTTTGGTGGTTTTAACAACTCTATAACTTCTTGTGCTATATTTATACATGTATCTATGTATGTGGAACACGATTTTCCCACCATTACAGATCATATTTTTCCAGTGATTTTGAAACAGTTCTTTTACAAGTTTTTGTTATCTTGAGACACACGATGTATTAATTTCCTGCACTTATTGTTACATTCCAAATATGGCAATATTACCACAAAAAAATGTTAAGTCTAGTTAGTCTGAAGTAGTGCTTACCCTCTCTTCCCTGTAAGTAACATATATTTATCAAAAGCACCATAAAATGTTACAGCTCGTTTCTTCAGTATCCTATCAATCAGTTGTGGCACTGTCATCTTCTGGTATAATTTCTTTTCAATGTCTGAACCATATATCCTGGAAAGCAGAAATAGTGTTTTTGGTTATAATGATAAATTATACTCTAACTTCACTAATATGATAATGGCCCATTAACACCAGGCCGTCCGAATACTTGACTCCGTCGGGTAAACGTGAATATTTTCTATGGAAGGTTACAGGAAACATAAAGAAACCTCGGCAATCGTTCCCACGTCTTCAAACTGGATTGACATGGGAGCGTGCCGATACAGAGATGGCAGAGGTTTTTGCGGTACACCTACAATCAGTCTTTCAGCATACTTTCAGCCAAATGACTGCTCTGAAAATGATGATTAGGAATTTGACGATACTCTCGCTTATGACTTACAGCCGCTGTGTCTCCCCTTAAAAAAAAATCCCAGAAAGTGTTTGGTGTTCTTAACTGCACTGGTTAAGGCCACAATGAGAATTGGTTATTTTCTAGCCGCCTGGAAGGTATCACAAATAACAATGATCCACAATGATCTACCAATTTTATTGTAGAAATAAATAAAAATAAGATACAGGAAGGGAAAAGAACTGGTAAGTTAAGGCGTAAAGGCTGTTATAAAACAAAATAATGTAAACCAGGTACAATCGTATAAAACACTCCCTACTTAAATTAGATATAGATTAACAGGTAAAAAGGAACTTACTCCAAAAGGGCCTGTATTTTCTAGAAATACTATGCTTATCGAGTTCTTAGGTTTTCGCGATTGTTACACATAGAAAATAAAACTATTTTTCGGTTTTAAGGCGCGTATATATGTTTTTTCAGACAAACCAACATTTCGGGCCCTTTACAGGTCCCGGACCAAGTGCAATTAAACCGCAACACATTACCTTCGCCCTGAGAAGAAGTGACTGTCCACCCGTGAAACTTGGGAATAGATAGCCTACCTCCACACTAGGAGACTGAAATGACAGCATGTGTTCGATGACTAGAGGCTGAAGCAGTGGCTTCCTCGCTCTCTAATGCCAAAAATTACTCAAACATATTCATTACAGTCTGGCGACTGATTGTAGGTAGATAAGTAAAAGATTTTTTTACCTCACCAGGTTTTATGAACTTGTCTATATTAGGTTTCACATAATGACAATATAATGTTGGGTGGTACAGCAAATTTAATGATACATTTTGGAGAGTGTTCCTCCTTCATAATGTATTTGGTAAATAAGAGGAATATGCTACGGCATCTGTGTGACGCGAAAAGTACAATTTATGGCTAAGCATTTATCAGACAAATGCTTCCTATCATTGGTGACTTCATTGCTCAATGTCTAGTGAGTTTGTTGCCAAACGTAAATAAATAAATAATAAATAAATAACGCACACACTCAACATAGCCCCGCACTAAGGAAAACCCTGTGTCGCGGGTGCCATGGACACACACATAGACAACCACAAATTACACCCAAACTCACGAGAGAAATAATTGTAGGCCTTACTACTATTTCTCCCGGCCCGGGAATCGAACCTGGGACCTCTGCGTGGCAGTCCGGCATGGTAACCGTTTGGCAACGGAGGCAGTTGAATGTGTGTCTATTATGTATATCAAAATTCCAAATAGTTTACCTTTTATATACCAAAAATCTGGTCATTAGCAATAAAACTCTCTCATGTATGAGGGGGTACGTAGACATTATATTTTTCTTTAGCCTGACCAGAGGTCTTGTCAATGTCAATTGTTCCAACCTGAAAAAATATGAGCAGAGTATAAAATAAAATAATAAATTATGTGTTTGTTCATGAAATTAAATATCACACCAGGCTTAGTCAAATCTTCTTCTTGGGATACCTCTCCTATCAGAGGTTGGACAACATCATGGCAATTCTGGCTTTAGAGGCTGACGCTCTAAAGAGCGGGGTCGTATGGCATTCGTACCATTTCCAAAAATTTTTCAACCAGGAGTGCCACCTTCTACTGATACTTCGTTTTCCAGCAGTTTTGCCCACGATGATAAGTTGGAGTAACTTGTACTTCTTGTTCCTCATGACGTATTAAACAAATCAAGCCAAGTTTAATCATAAAATTATAAACCCTTCCTTACCTAATGGTCTGGATAGGGAATGGTATAGGAAACTCTCTACTCCTTCTAATAATGTCTTCTAAATTATCTGCAAGCTTCACTTTTGCTAAATCCTTACATTGAGATAGAAACTCTGTTGTGTTCTCATCAATGCTTAAATAGTCCCATTCATGTTCTAACCTAAAAATATAATAAAGTTATTAATAAGTATTGTAATCAACAGTTCAGTACAAACTATCTATGTTATGAATCATATAGCTAAGGCAATTCATCATTTTTAGATAATAAGCAATGAAAAAAATTAAGAAAAATAATGGGGTTACAAGTTTGAATATGTTTTCTATTCTCTAGTCATCCCATGAATTGTTTCTTAAGCTGGGTTTTCACTACACAAGTGCTCTTGGGCCGCAGGCGCTCATATAAGCCAGATCTTAGAAGTCCACTCAGATTTCAGTTTACACGTTACTATTTCATCAGAATCCAAGTAGCATTTGTCCCCGTGCACAATCAAGATGTCCACGACTGACCTGCTGCGTTGTGTAGGAGTTGTGGCAGATATGCTAGTGGCTGAAGTGCAAAATCATGAAAGGGAAAAAACAAAGCAAGAAAATATTTAGACCAGAGAATGGATTTTACGAAGTGATCAACCGAAAAATTTTACTAGTTAAGTGGAAGAGGAAGATCAAAACATGTTTAACACCTCATAGCGTCACATTCCTTCCACTTTTTCTTAGTTGGTGGCATTTTGATTTCTTCTTTTTATTTATTGGTGCCCTGTAAGAATATATTTCTACAAGTATATTTCTACAACTACTCTTGGACTCGGTCCAAGAGTATGTACTATTTGTATAGTGAAAATCCAGCTTTACTATTGAGATTTAAAGACAGGACTTTAGAACAGCTGCATCCCAATTAAGTTTCAAAAATACAATGTTTATAGTTTTTATAAATATTAACTACTATTTAAAACAATCTTATTAGTTTAAAAATTACTAACAATTATGATTATTTATATATTGTTAAATAGAATTAAATAAATTATTATCAAACGAGATTTCCTTAGGACTACGCCACTTTTACTTGAACCAATTTAAATCTCAAGTGTCATGCTAGACGTGCCGTTGACGCCGTAAGTAAGACTATATTCCATATTTTACCAAATTATATATAGAATAAGCTAGAGCTCGTGAGTATTGTTGTTAAAATACTTAAATAAACAAACTTCCGCACCAAATATACTGTCTGGATGATGAACACCTTTGCTCGAACGTTAACTGTGGAAGCAGCAAATGTCTTATTACGGTGTCCACATCCGAGTAATATGAAGATGTTAAGTCTGCCATATCAATAATTTTAATTCGATTCAAATGTTGTTTTACTACCATCTAATAAAAACAATTCACCATGGTTTCCCAAAATTGCACAATAATTATTTAGATGTGACAAATTGATAAACACAAACTGACACAAACTATGATAAACTTTTTGACAATATAAAGTTTCGTTCGTTTATATTTTTTTTAAAGGTATATGGCCCTGTCACAAAACCTTTAGGCCAAGTCTTATTTAAATTGACGATCTTGATTTAAGAGTTTGTTAATAGTTTCTATAGTGTATTCCACAAATTTATTTAAAATACTGTAACTCTTTTTATTTTTAAGTAAATCTGTTGTGCACCGGCGAAGAACTACATATTACACTTGTTTCACTTGGTAATTTGTTAAAGAGTCGTCCATAAAGGCACAAACCAAAGATACTACATATCGTAAAAATGTATACTGTGAGATAATTTTCCGATAAATACCAGAAAAATTGCAAAAATTTTAAAATTTGGAAAAATAGTTTGAAAGGCTCATATGTTCTACGTTTTGAAATATCTTTTGAAGTTTTATTTAGCGTGAATTATAAACTAGTTTAGCTATATAAAAGCCACTTAGAGAAAAACGACATTGCATAATTTATTTCAAAATCAATTATTTTCACTTTGAATCAATTTCGAGAAAATATTTAAGCAAATGAGTATATGCCTCGTGTCCAAAATACATTGCGGCTTTTATTTGGTGCGGTACACTTGTGATCCTTCGTAATTAGAACATGAATATGGGACGAGCGGTACTTTCGTATAATGCATTCAGTTTCGTGGTACGGCCGTATCGTCATGTTTATTGGACAAATTGTACGATTAGTGATGTTCACTTGATGCAACCACGATGCAACACAGTTCTCGATTCTGATTGATTTAGGAAATAAAGGGATGGTCATTCTCAAGACCTTATGATCAGAAGCGGCCGCGGAAGCGTTCCGGGCGCGGGTTTTTTTGGCCGTCCATTTCAGTGTGGAAGGGTTGATATAAACTCGTACATTACAAAAATCCCCGCGCCCGGAACGCTGCAGCAGCCGTCTCAGTGTGGCTAGAGCATTAGAAAATGTTATAAAAATATTCTAAAGTTTGTTGTTGTTTTTTTTATTTTCGGGGAGCAACTTTTTTTTCAAAACACATAAAGGACTTAAATAGCTTAGGCATTATTTTACTATATTAATATTACACGGCTTCTTACAATCAATAAATACTTGAAAAATCATTATTTTAAATACGTGTTGCGTCCGCGTCTACGATTTAATCAATCGCTTTAGTGCCAAAGGAGGTTTTCCATCACTAAAGAGAGCTTGTGACGTCGTCGGAAGTACAAAAACTGTGGCACCCTTGGTTTTCTTATAGATTGCGTTATCTATCTTTATATATCACTGTGAGAGATCTAGACAAGAGAATCAAGTTAGGCACATGAAAAAGTTATGTACATCTACCGTAAAAAATCATTCATCGGCGCAAAAGAAACGTAAAAGCCTGCATACTACTGAGTTAAATTACTCACAAGACATCGAGCAATAGACATTGGAGAAAACAAGTAATAATGAAATTGTTAATAATCATAATGAAAATGATAAACCAAGCACAATAAACAATAAAGAAAGACCGGTCGAGCAACATAAAAATAGGGTGATAATATTGGCCGATGAGCAAGGTACTGGAGCTCAATATATACTGCAAGAACTATTGGGAACCAAATACAATGTTTTCTGTTTCTGCAAACCTGGAGCCAACGTTGTAACCTTGATTTCGTCTTGTAAATTGGATATAAATACGTTAACAAATGAAGATTATGTAATTGTAATTGGTTTCAAGAACGATACAAGTCACATTTGATGTGAAATATCTGTTCACGTCATGGCTCAATTCAATTAAAAATACAAATGTACTAGTGTGTGAAACCTCTTATAACAAACATTTGAATGAAACAGAACTTAATCAGGAGCTAAGATTTATTTGCAATAATTTTGAAAATTCTGTTTTTATTGATATGAATTTTGCCAGATATGTGCCTAAACGTAAATATTATGCTACCTATTTATGTCGCAATGTACTTAGAGAAACATTGAGAATGTCAAATCATAGAAGGTATAAGCAACACATGCTCGCAAAATCTGTAACTGTTACGGTTAATAACGTCTGCACTCAAACTGATAGTACTGTCTTTGTTAATTCGGAGCCACAAGTGGAATATGAAAAAACATCCTAGACACCGTACAAACAGAGTGGTAACATTGTTAATGATCAGTTTTTTCGTGTATAAATCTATTAAAATTCTACATCAGAACATAGATGGCTTAATTAATAAAGCTGATTTATTGACGATTTGTTTCGATGATATGGAATACATAGGTAAACGTATAGACATATTATGCTTTACAGAACATAACATGGTACCTGATGATATCTGTTTATTAAGAATGCCTTATTGCTGCGTCCTACACACGTAACAGTAGAGATGGTGGTTCTTGCATATTAGTTCGAAATTATCTAAAATTTGAAGTTATCACAAATATTATGAAGTTAAATATACCTAATGTTTTGAATGCTGCGCGATAGAATTGATTGACCATAAAATAGTAATTCTGTGTGTATATAGAGTACCGAAATGTAAAGATGCTACAAGAAATTTTTAGTCATTTTTTAACCATTTTGATGATGTTTTAAACCTAATAACAAAAACAAGATTATAGTGTGCGGAGACTTTAATGTAAATATTTTTTTTTAATCCAAATATACCTAATAATATAAATATAAAATATATGTATTCTAGGATGGACAGAGGTCAGTTCGTTTCATCATTATACATGGATCTAACCAAGGTATTTGATTATGTAAATCATAACACGCTTTTGCATAAATTGTGGGTGTACGGTGTAAGAGGCAATGCCCAGGAACTAACAAAATCCTACCTTAAAAATAGACTTCAGTCAACACACATTAATAAAGTATGTCCCGTGTCGAAAATTGAGAAGTTTTATGCATCATCACAGAGAATAGTAAGTCAAGGAGTACCTCAAGGTAGCGTATTAGCACCATTGCTATTCTTAATATACATAAATAACATTCCTAAATCAATTAACGACCCTACGATATTATTTGCGGATGATTGTACGGTAACTTATGACAATGAAACTAATATAAATACAAGTTTGAACTCTATTATTGAATGGCTGAAATATAATGATATAGTTATAAATCTTTACAAAACTAAAGTTATGAACTTCAAACAAAGATACAATAAACCCATGCAAACTAGAGTGGTCTATGAAAGCAAGGAGGTCGGTGAAACAATGACAGTGAAGTTCTTAGGTTTATATATGTAGATAGTAAACTAAAATGGCAAATTCACCTAGAATATGTATGTGGTAAGATACTAAAGTTTTCTTATGCATTGTTGAGGTTATCGAAAATAGAAAATTTAAACGCTTTAGTGACCGCCTGCCATGGTTATGTAGCAACCAACCTTAGGTATGGAATCATTTTTTGGGGAAATGCACCGCACATTGAACGCATATTCAAAGCGCGAAAGAGATGTATTCGGGCTATATCGGGCTTGAAAAAAACAGTGGAGTCGGACTTTTACTTTGTGTCGCATAAGTTAGGGCTACCTAAGACCCCCCCCTCTCGAGATGGAAGGCTTGTCTGGTGTTTGGCGAGCCTTACATTTGGAGTCGGGGGACCCTTGTGTATCCCTTCTTGGGGAGGGGCTGCGCTGAGCGCGGCCAGCCGCTGGTGAAGGCGCGGACGAGCGATAGCGTACCCGTGCCTTTATCTACAGCGGAGAGGAGGAACACCCCGGGGGTTTGGTGCGGTCGGGTTGCTCTCCTTCAGGGTTCAGCCCCGTCACATATAACCCCGGTTCTGCCCCCGAAGGGCCGGGATATCTGTAAGCAGATTCCCTAAAAACAGAAAAAAGAAAAAAAGGCTAAGGCTCTAAGGTATTAGAGACACCATATATAAGTACCGAAACAAAAGTATCGATACCTCAAGGTATGGATACTTTTGTCCTGCAAATTTTCCTTGCTTAAAGACAGAATAAAACAACATGAATTATGAGTCTTTTATTTGATTTATGGTTTTTAATTGAAACAAATAATAAAATACTTTGAATATGTATATCGAGCAATTTAATAATAAGAACGGTCCAAAGTACTAAGTGTCGAGCTTGACGTGCTCACTTGAAAAGAATCGAGTACAAAACTATCGGTATCGGAAGGAAAAATACTCGATACCAAAAAGTATCGATACCTTTTCCATGTCCTGACTTTTTGTATCCAAGCAAAAAAAAAAGACAATTGACATTGACGTTGCGCTTGCGCTCATTTTGGCGGGTATTTTGCGGAATAGTCTTACTTTTGTCGAAAATAATGTTTTTACTGTGAAGTTCATCAATTTTATTAGTCTTTTTCGAGAATTAATGCAAATAACAAAATGGAGGACCTCCAAAAATTACGTACGGAAGTGACCAACGCCTTTAAACTCAGTGGATTTACTATTCGAAAGGAGGCTAGTACGTTTGTAGCTGAACGAATTTCTTCGTTAAGTACACAAGAAAGACAAAAGACGATTGATAAATTAATTGTTCATCTACTCCATCAGTGCCTATCGCAACCTGTTTTGGAGAAGGAACACGTAGAAATAGCATATAAAGAATGTTCAACACTGGGACTTGAAGACGCAGAAACTGTATTTAATGTAATCGATGCGTTTAGTATCCCGAAACTTTGTTACGACATTGAAAGGAAAAAATTCACAAAAGACGTAAGTATTTGCAACAATTTATTCCCAGATGCCAAATGGAAAGCCCAGTTCCTTATAGATAGGTACATGATAATTTGGCAGAGGACAGTTCGAAATAAATTGTTTACTCAAGATGTGCTGCCGTCTGTGGACGACGATAAACGGTTTCAACTAAGAAAAATAGAGGTGTTGCTAAGTTCTTCAAGCAGAATCGATGAGGTGATTGTCTTGGGTTTGTTAACACAGCTTACAGAAGGAAAATTTTATTTAGAAGATCCAACGGGCAGTGTCATTCTAGATATGTCAGAAACACGGTACCACTCAGGCTTATTTACTGAATGTGGTTTTGTACTAGCTGAGGGATATTATGATGACAAGACATTACATGTTATGGGCTTAGTTTTGCCCCCGTCAGAAACTAGAGTCACATCATTACCTTATTTCGGAAGTTTAAACACTTTTGGTGGAAAATCTAAGAGTCTACTTAAAAATTCACTCAGTCTCTTAAAGATTGAGAAAGACAATCAAGATGGAATTATCATATTTTTGTCAGATGTCTGGTTGGATAACTTAAAAGTTCTGGATAAGTTGAAAATATTATTATCTGGCTATAATGAATTCCCTCCCATAGCTATAATCGTTATGGGAGAGTTTTTGTCCTGTCCGTATGGGTCTGAACATAGTAATCAATTAAAAACTGCATTAACAAATTTTGGTGAACTGGTACATCCATTTTCAAATCTTAGAGCGAGCTGCAAATTTATTTTTGTACCAGGAAGAGGAGATCCAGCCACAGCGAACATATTACCAAGACCGCCAATACCAAATTCTATTACAAAGGAAATCAGAGACAAATTAGGAGATTCTGTTATCTTCACAACAAATCCGTGTCGAATTCAATACTGCACACAAGAACTAGTACTTATAAGACAGGATTTGGTAACAAAAATATGTCGTAATTCAATACATTTTCCAGAAAAGGGCGATATTCCTGATCATTTAACAAAAACACTGTTAAGTCAGTGCACACTGTCTCCATTGTCGCTTGGAGTACAACCGGTGTATTGGAAACATTCTGAAGCATTGAGTTTGTACCCTATGCCAGATTTGATAGTGGTAGCTGATCATTTTCAGCCCTATACAAGGTCATACCAGGATTGCAAAGTTGTTAATCCAGGATCTTTCCCAAGAACAGAATTTTCTTTTAAAGTTTATGTACCGGCTTCAAGAACTGTTGAGGATTCTCAAATACCAAATGATGATATTTGATGTACCCTATTATGATTTCGACGACTTTGATGGCCCTGGAAGAGGAGGTCTCAGGTTCGATTTCCAGTCAGACCAATTTGAGGAATTGGTTGTGGACTGGGTGTTCTGGCAAATACCCCGGAGTTCTATTGCTTTGATGCTTATATAAGTACAGGGAATCCCCTAGTTTGAGACCAGTTAATTGTAGGGTTCCACATGATTCTTGTTTTTTCTGTTGATGCCAATGTGAATACCACCACATCAAAGTAGAAAAGTAACTTATCAGCCTTTCTATAAAGTGTTAATAGTAAATAAAAGGGTAAAATAAAGTAGAACTTTATAATCTAAAAATTGTTTATTTTTAAACAAATAATTTTATGAGATACTGTATATAAATAAAGAATTGTAACAAGTATAAAATAATCAGTGATTTTACATTATACAACAGTACAAAAATGGAAGTACAATAATTTGCTACACCGCAAACCCAGTGTAGGTTAAATCATGCAAAGATGCTGCGCTTGTGTTGAGTATTACTTCATGCAGTTTTAATTTATCCACCTTCCTTTCACATAAAATTAATAAAACAAATAACACAAGTGCAACTACAATCGCAGACACCACCACCAAAAATATACTCTGTATTCTACGAGGTATCCTCAGAGGTTGTTGATTGTTCGACACTCAGCTGGAGAATCAACTAGTTCAGAATGGGTTTGCGATGTAGTAAATTATTTTACTTCCATTTTTATTAACATGGACTTCCGCAAAGTATTGCCTGAATCTATTAATTGCTTATACAACAGTGTTTACAAAATATGAATTTGATTCATATTTAAAATTAGACAATGTTACGCTTTTGTGTAAAATCTATAATTGTGCTTACAACTATTTACTGTTCAACTGTATTATTATTTTATTTAGCTTAGGCTTAAATATGTAATATTAGATTCATTCACACAGATCTTAGAATACAAAACTTATTTTTACAGTGGACAAATGATGACTTCAAGACTTCATAAATATCATCTAAATACCTTTTTATCAATGGTGTAACAATAAAATGTGGACTTGTTGGGAAATAAAGACTGTTGCCTTAAAGATGTTAAGCATGTTATGATAATCACTTTTGTGTAACTCTTAACAAGCCAAAGGTTCAGTTCGGGCTTACCATTTTGCCAAGCCCTTTTACTATATTGTTACATCACTGTCTTAATACTAATTGTTTAAGCACCCATTAAATTGTACTTATTGGCGATAGGCGCTAATGCGACAAGGCAGATCATGGCCACAGTGAACAGGATTATGATAGGCACGTATATCGACAGCAGCAGTTTCCTGAAGCCTGAATACTGGAATAAACAAAATAATAAAATAAATTTTTTAAAACGTTTTTAAACACACGTTAAAAATCACGCCTTTGGAACGGTTTGAGATTTAAAAAACAGATGGTTTCATATGATTCTTCTTCCTTTAATATATTGAATACTAATAATATACGGGACATGTTACTTCAGCCGCGTGTTAATCGCTTAACGAACGGAACGACGCCGAATTGTCACTATCCACAACCACAAAGCGAGTTCGCCCGAGCCATCTCGGCCTAGCTATCAATTTTATTGGGCGGAATTAGGCCGGCGAGATTTCAATTCTCGTCTCGTCTCGCCTCGCCTCAACGGTGAAAAAGAAAATCGGAAGGAAATCTTTTTTTACAACGCATTTCGTACAAAGACGTTCCTTCTATCAAAATGTTAGGTGTGTAGGTATGTGATGAGTATATTTTTTATGCCTATAGAATTCGTTGTGCTGCATTTGTATAAATTGGCGTTTTTTGAAACCTACGATATCGCACTGATATTACAATAATGTTGTAACTAAAAATATGTGAAATTCAGGATTATACTATTGCTGAACGTAACATTTGAGTCTCTACACGTCAATACAACCGTAAATAGAATATTGTAAGAAACAAAAGATTCCTACTTAATACAAGGTGAGACTTTTTGTGAGTTAGTTCAGCACAAAACAAAATCAAATCAAAACTTCATCTCGATTGATATTACAATTGAAGTCGAATGAAATTGTTTTGTTTTTCAGAGTTGTTCGAAATTTGAATGTAATAATAAAATCGAATTTTATGTTATTATGAAGCAATAACATAGCAATAATAACATTTTCACAGATAAGGAATTTGTCCTAACAAAACAGTATATCTTTATGCAGGTCGTAATTGGCGGTTTTTGAACACATCATAGAGGGTTTATGATGTGTGTAGATAAAGGTATTTTTTGTAAGTACATACAGGGCAATGCATTAATGCACTTACAAAATTATAAATATACATTATAGTTTATATATCGTAAATACGTGCACTATTGTAGTATTATTCTTCTTGTAACATGACATAGTACTATTATTAGTAGCAGTCGAGCTCCTGGTGAAAGTGTTCGTCCAGGGAAGTAAAATAATAATAAAAATTACTTTTATGTAAGTGCAACAATTCAAATCCCCTTGTATTTTGCACTTTCTGTTCTAAGTTATATAATGTTTCGTAGCAATAGGTACCTTTCACTAACAGTGTAGGTATCGTTATGTAAAATAAAACGGGAAGCTGATAAACCATGACCCTCAACATTAGTTTCCTCATGTTTTCTTAACGTGACTGAAGTACAAGTGGTGTGATGTGTGGAGGCGTATAAACTTACCGGCGCGTCAATACTTCTGTCAATTTGTGTGGTCTGCCGCGTCTGACCCAGCATGTCTTTCATGGGGAATGCGTTCACCCGCCCGTTGCTTATACGTCCATCGGACACGCACACTGTAAGCTGCATAAGAAGAGCAATAGGGTAAATATTTTAAGAATCTACCGTAGTATCTCGAAATAAATTTCATAATGGCGGATCCAAAACATGGTGACTGAAGTAATATGAGCGATACGGGGTTCCTCCTTTACATTTTCTCTGGTGGATGTATTTTGTAAGAAAGCGTTACGTCATCAAAGACTTACAGAGAGCACTATATGCATAATGACGTGGAAAGCAACGAAGGCGGCCAAGATGTTAACGCTCCATCGGGGTAATTCCGCTTTTGTAAGGTACACAGCCAGGAATATTGTCGCAACTGGAAAGTATAAAAAATTTAATAAAGTGCATCATTAGTAACAAGTCTATTATTAGTAACTAGCGTGTCTTATTCCATTGTGACCGAAATCGAGTACCTACTTATTGGAAATTTGAATAGTCACGCCTGTCTGTAAAAAAGGAGCGACTAATTCTATTTGCGACTAGAACTTTCACGACTTGTTTTAGGTGCAATCGGGTCTAAGTTAGAAGCTGTGGATCTTAAGAAAAATAAGCTTATTCCAGCGCGGACAGTAAAAACATTCTTTTACCTGCAAAATGGCGTAAGGACCAAATCTAGTTTTTTACGACTCGGCCCGATTTAATTGAGATTTTTTAGCGCAACTAAATCTAAAATTGAAAATGCTTTTATAAAATAAATTGAAAAATGTATTGAAGATGCACTCACTTCCCAAAATGTGTGCAGCATTACCAACCAGCCAGTGCAACCAGTTGAAGATAGGTCTCTTTTTTGTGCCAGGGTGTGGTCTGAAGTAAGCTCCTGCAATTGTTTAAGTTAAAATTTAGTTATACAGACTTCTAATTCTAGCGGTCAAGGGATTGATTTTTAAGTTGTCATAGGCTAATCGATAAGCAGATGGTTGTGTACACAACTGTTTAGGTAGGCACCTATATGAGCAGTTTAATATATATTTTATATGTATTTAGTAGCAGTAGAGCTCCTTTTGAAGGTGTTCGTGAAAGGAAGTACGCAGCGCAGTGGCAGTGCCTCTCTGATTTCTTAAGCTTACTTTCTGAAGCTCTGAATGGCACTGCAACTGTTAGGGACAGGCGTGTCGCTTACCACCAGGCGCACGACTTATTCGTCCTGTCTCTTTGTATTATAAAAAAATATGAACAGGAAGTGTCCGCCATCAAGTAAAAAATTGTTCCAAAATAGTTTTCAGGCATCTATATTATCCAACTGAAAAGTTAGTAAGTGCCCACTTAAAAGCTCTCATTGTGTCCATTAAAAATGGCTTTATTCATGGGGCGCAATATTAGCCTAAAAGAAAGTAAAAACTCACCAATCGGCTGGATAAAGCAGAGGATAACAGTGACAATTCCAGTAATAGCATGAGGGTTGTCTCCAGTGTCCGACCATTTACCAACTTCTATGAAGATCAGGATGAAGCCGCAAACAGTCAGCAGCCATGTCGCTACCATGAAGATTCTGTGGTACTGAACGACGAAGAATCAAGGTCAGTGAGGTAATTGCTATGTGAAATTTAGACTTTTTTCCATTTTTTTATGATATTTCTGAATGTGATAGCAAACAACCCCTTTAAAGGTTTGCAGTAAAGCAATTATGTAACACCCTGTATAACGAAAATCAATTATTGTAGGTACTTCGCCCTCTATGATGAGAGCGTACCTATATACCAAAGGTATGGTTAGACTGGATTAGTCGCAAAAATTAAGTTAATGAGGAAATAACTTACAGCAAACCAAATATCCTTGCCACCTAATTGTTTTCCTACCCACGTCTGTTGGAAATATCTGAAACAGAAATTGCATTACATATTATCTAACATCTAAACTAATATTATAAATGCTTTTACGTTTTCATCAATTTTGATGAATTTTGGTATAGAGATAGACGGCACCTTGGAGAAGGATATACGCTACTTTTGTCACAAAAATAAATATTAAAAGGGGTGAAATGGGAGATGAAACTTTGTAAGAAGAACCAACAAAATTATGAAAATTAATATAGTACAGTAGACTACTCGAAATACTTATTCTACGCAGACGAAGTTGCGGGCTCTAGTTAGCTACCTACCGGCGCGCCATTAATTTCATTTCAGTTTGATCAGGCGCTCCAATCGTACGCACGCGTACGCTTCCATATTTTGTATTATTATTATTATTAGCGTAGTCAAAATGGCGACCTCACACCCGTACGATAACTCGAACTTCTCGACCGGCAAAGGCCACAAACGTTACTCAGAACACAGTTATCGAATGAAAATTACCGAACGTCCTATTGTTTACAAAGTAAGAATGTAATAATGGAAATATTATTTTTTGAAATAAAGGCTGAATTTTGTTCAATTTTATTAATTTATTTTAATGCAAGACTAATGCAATCCTATATTTTAGGCCTTTAAAGTCTTAAAATGTATATAAAAGGATTTTCATTTTTCTTATAAACTATTGCACCGACTAACTCCGTAAACGCTGTTGGATAACGATATCGTATCCGAATCCGAATCGAAAGCTTGACTCGAACGTTTTGAAAACGATATCCAATCGAACGATTCGGTTAAAATATCGAAGCATTCTGAATCGGGGTCCAGGAATCGAACCCGGAACCTATGCGTGGCAGACCGGTATAGTAACCGTTCGGCCACGAAGGCAGTCAATTAAGATATACATAGTAATTTCCATTGTAGTTTAAGTGAACTTACATAAAATAATAAATGCCATCATTGCCATTCCACTGACCATCTATTGAGACTCAAGTGCAATTTGAACTAGATTTTGGCAGAATAACAAATATTATCATAATTGCAATAGAATTTCGGTGTGATTTTAATGGAATTACAATGCCCAGTTGGTTAAAAAAAATTTGCAGACTTGGGACACTGGTAATTAATAAATATAAGTATTAACTCCTCAGTACTGACCTGGCGAGTAGAATACCAAGAGAGGCAGTTCCAATCCAAGCGGTCAACATGAAGCATCCATGTAACTTCAGCAACAATTTGGATGCTCCTCCTGCATTTCCCACTGTAGATAACGCGAGTGGCTCTTCAGTTGCCGCGTACACCTTGTTATGGAAGCCCACGCGGTTGGCATCTGAATGGAGGGAAAGAGAAGGAGAACACTGTAAATGTTAGGAACTATACATTGAATTTTGAATTAAAATCTTTATAACTTTATTGAATGTTACGATGTTTGACCACCACGATGTTCAATTATCTTTGCGAAATTGTAATAAATACTAGTTTATTACAATTATTAACACAGATATCGAACACTAAGAAAAAATTCCTTCGCTCCGGCTGGATTCGAACCAACGTCTTTCAGCAAACCGCGCCAGATGCTATGCCAACTAAACCACGGAACGAACCACTACGAATTTTTGTACGTGCTTGTTGTTCTGATCTTTGTTTTGGTTTTCTTAACGACTTTTTTGCCGCAGCAAATCTATTTCTTTATTAGAATTTTTTTATGATAAACTGACGGGACGAACAAGTAGTGTGACTGGTGATAAGCGACACGTCTATCCATAGCAGCAGCAGTGCCACTCAGAGCTCTAAATCGCCAAGATTTAAAGGCACTGCCATTGCGCCCGTCACCCTGAAACAAGTTGACAAGACCCGCGTGCCTGTTATTTACCAGCACCCTTAGCGCCCAGTTACACGACGCGAAAGTTTTCACGCGGACGTGTAAGCACGGCACACGCCGTACGGCGTAAGTTACCGCGCTTTCACGTACATTAATGGCGAATCTGAATTCTATTTACTACGCAACATTTAAATTCCTCTGAATAAGACAACCGCGCCCAAAGTAGACGTAGACCAAAGACAAGCCAGCCTCGTCCCCGTGCCCGCGACGCTCAATTAAGTTAAAACGTAAAAGTATATAGAGCGTACTTCGCCATGACAGTTACATGCACGCGGTCGATGAGGCGTGAGCGCAATGTAATTCGTGTCGAATAAACGCGCCCTTATACTTCAAAACCGGAACACGGTAATGCTCACATTACTGCTTGGCGGCTGACATATCGACGCCTCCCACGTAAAGTATCGTATGTCAAAATTGCCAAGTTTACAGGGGAGCCTTTTAAAGTTGTAAATTCACTGAAATAAGCATAACACGTGACTTTAGATTTCTCACTTTTATTCGGCAAATCTCGTAACACACGTTGAGTATCATAAAATCCTAGATATCGGTTAGATGATCACTCTATGTGAGTAATAAGCTTTGCCAAATGAAACGGAGAACTTTAAAACACTCCCCTGCAAACTTGGCAATTTCGACATACGATACTTTACGTAGGAAGCGTCGATATGTAAGGCTGCAGTACTTCCCTGGACGAACTCTTTCACAGGGACCTCTACAGCTAATAAGTAGTATCGTATTACGAAGTAATATAAGGCCATGATCATAATTAACTTGCAGAACTCACCTTTCATACTGTCACCAGCTACAATCATGAGATGGTACTTGTTATTCGCCAGATCGAAAGTCTGTCCTTTCACTTCGGACACAACGTCTCTTTTAAACTTGCAGTATAGTTTTCCGTCAATAACCGAAGACTCTTGCATCTGTACTATGTTTTGTGGAGATTCAGACCTCGCAACGTATGGTTCCGATTTTGGGTACGTCCATGAGGTGAACAGTCTGATTTGCCCGTTGTCATTTCTAACGCATTCCATGGCGTTATCGTCTCCCATGTTTTTGTCCATGCTCAGGCCCGCAGCTACATATTTAGGATTGCCACTAGCTTGCAACTCGAAAGTATATTGGTCGCCAGCAACGAACACAGCGACGATTGCGTCGCAAGTGCCTGAAGGGGCGCAGTTTTCGGGAACGCCGAAGCATAGTTTTGTGTCACCGCAACCTCGGTAGATGATGTCCAATTGAGAGTTTTCGGGTTTTGGCTGAAAAAAGGGATTGGAAACAGTAATTACTTATTAATACAAAGATTAGACATTTGGAAAAAAATTCTTCGTGGCAGACGCTATGCCAACTAAGCCACGGAACGAACCAGCGGACGTTACGAAAGACGAAACAACTATATACCTACAGGAGTGCTTGTAGCAGACCCTGTATTCTCATTCTTCCGCCGACATCCGTCCGAAACAATACTGTCAAGATATAGGTACATGTTGAAAGTATACTTCTTTCGTTGTTAAGCCACTTATTAATTATATCTCATAAGCGTTTATATGTATAAAGTAAAATCATATTAAATGTCGCTCTATTTGTCTATTATTACATATATATATATATATATATATATATATTATATATATATATATATTTATACATGACAGGCAAATGACTCCACCTGATGTTAAGTGGAAAGTGGTATCCAAACGCGAAGGAACCTAGTGCAGCGATGAAACCCTCACTGCACTAGCCACCTCCACCCTGCCTATATATGTATATATCACTATACCGAGTGAAAATATGTTTTTTTCATTTGTATAATCATAATTTTGTAATAATATGCTAAAGAAGGATCGCGACAACCTGCGTATTTTGTGACCCAGTATTTTTGACGACGTGCATTAAGGAGACCTATCAATACTTTTGATACATTATCAAAGCATCAAAAAAGCTAATTGAGTACAGCCTGTAGAAGCTGGGGGTATAAACTTGATATACGTTAAGTTTAGAACATTGTCCTGTATTTCGTTTCAGATGTTTGTTCGTAGTACCAGAAAACAACAAGTGTTCAGTTTGTTCCCAAAAATAATAAAGAACTTCCCGAATATTCCCAAAACTGCCACATTTAATATAACTTATCATGTTCTGCAGCAATGAAAATTATTAAAATTAAATCTGCCCAAATGGCAAAAATCTGCCCTAAATGGTCACACTGTTCTCAATATGAATGTGATATTGACATTGGCAAGAGGTCTCTTGTCAAAACGTTCCTTTGCAAGTTTCATTATCTCTCATTTAAATATTGTCCAAATATTTTTGTCACATTGTTTTATTTTTTGCTTTATGTCATCACTGTTTAATTGAATATTTCATTCGGTATTTTATAGCTTTAATGTTTTATGTGTGTAATAAAAAATAAGCAAAACTTCAGGTAGGTACATTCAATCATGCTTAAAATGAAACGTACATACAAGAACGTTACCTAGTCTATGATCAATCTGAATCAATTACGTTGTGTTCTTGCATCTATTCTAAAATACAAAGATTTACAATTTTTTATTTCCCACTTCTAAAAATATACAAAAATATATTTATAATCAGGCATAAACTAAAACGCAAAATTATACTAGTAAAGTCCATGAACGGCTCTTCGTCGTTATTGGGGCAGCTTTTGCCATCCTTCTTTAAACACTATTCAAACAGTGAGGCATCTGTTAAATTGCCTTTCCATCTTTAAAAGGTAGGTTTGTAATACGAGATAAATGGATTTAAACTAACCTTGGATTCGGAAATAACAGGTGGCGCAGGTGTGATAGTTTGTGAGGTAGACGTAGGTGCATTAGTAGTGATGACGGTGTCATTCCTGACTATTTCCACCAGAGGTGATTCTATGCCGCGCCAGAACGTTGAGTAGTCCTGTGCAATTGTTGCTCTGGAAACAAGAAAATGGATTTTATCTTACAGTGATAAAATAAGTAATGGAAACATAATAAAGACAATAAATACGGAGTAAATAATTACTCCGTTAAGGACAGGTCAAACAGCTCAGCAGATCTGTCATCTGACGAGGAAGACCAATTTCTAGTGGCGATCAAGAGCTGAATGAGCGACGTAGTGCGACAAGCTAGACCTACGACATGGTAGACCTACACAATTTTTGGGAGCCGTATAAATCTAGAAGTAAACTTGTTCTTACCTGAACTCAATGCTTCCCAAAAAGTCATCTGGCGCTCGCCATTGGAAGGTCATAGCAGGCTTCTCCTCAGGACTAGAGTGTGTCACCGTGTCGTTTTCCCCACGACAGCTGGTCATATGAGTCTTCAGTGGATCAGGCAGGGAGACAAACTTGCCCACTATTAAGTCTTGTTTCTAAAATTAATAAAGAATTAAAAAAGGAAGCGAAAGACAAAGAATATAGGTATAATTGTATATTCTAATATTGTATATTCAGTTATACAATACATCTCTTATGCCTATAAACTCGAAGACTTCGTTGGTCAATGGTAAAGGAATTTATCCTGTCCACGAATTACTACCGTGAATATCGCTTTCGTGAGAAAATTGTTGATGCAGATCTGGCCTTCTCTTCTCTCTACCCCTCTCAACAAAGCTACCAAAGGAGACTTTCTCCTCCGATCTGGTAGCCTTGTTAGTTCAACAATACAAACAAGTAAACATTAATATCTCAGGTGAACACAACCGAGCTAAAAAATTAAGTATCTACATACATCTCTAGCTACATTGTCAACAGGTTTGACAATGGAGTAATAGAGAGAGACGTAGCTTCCGCCCTTATCATAAGCTATGAAGGCGTAGACTACCTCAGATAATCAAGTAATACTAACATAGTGAAAATAAGTTGTCATTTACCTGCACAGACCGAGCTTGCAAAATAAATCCTCCAATAGGCACTGGCGCGCCAACAGGACTGCCGATGGTGACACCGAGTAACCCCCCCTGATGGACTTGTGATGACGAAGGTTTTATGAGGTACGGCGGTGGAGATATCTGAGCTTGGATGTTCGGAGTCGAGTGGCGGGGTAACTGGTCCACACACGCCTGGAAATATGGAAAAATAAAACGTAGGTATATTGAGATACATGGTAGGTTTTTCCCATCTAGGTTTTTTTATAACTCCAAGTGACAGCACGAACATTCTATCCATAACTTTACTAGATACAATTAGCCAGAATATTGAACAGAATATTTTTTTATATTTTTAGATGATTTAGCATTATTTCGGAAATTAATAATAATTAATTTCTTAAATATGGCGAGAATGCAAATCAACACACTGTATTTTCCTGGAAATATGTGGTACAATTTATTATAAATGATGTTGGGAGGCAAGAACCCGTTTACTTCGCTAGCGACCGCGAAAAACGTAGCGTCTTTGGAGGCGTCGCAATCGTCTCTCGGCCCCCCGCACACCCTGCACTCTAGGTAGGTATAGGTAAAATCGGCACTACCCTTACGTCTAATAAAGGGAACGACAGACGGAACGGATCGTCCTTTATAATAATACTTTCACTTTATTCTTCACTTACTTAATTGGACATAGTTATGCAAACAAAAACCAACCCACACCTCGAGTGAAATTGAGTTATGTATTTAGGTAGAAACCCAGACGTGTCCTTTACCCGCTTACAAAAGATCCTGGCAATATACCAAGTCAAAACGGAGAAAATAAAAGTCCTTCGGGTACCAACCCTAAATAAGTAACTTTTTAATAGCTAAAAAGAACCATGCTGCTTAACATCATATAATGTATTTTTTAAATATGCTAAATGGATCCATGTCACATGTACTGAAGCACTGTAGATCTTTAGGTTTTCATTACGAAAACTAGAACATGATTCTCGTTAACTAAATAAAAAGATGCATAATGTTTTCTATTTATTGCTATATAATATAATAGTTTCCCTATATCATTGTCAATGCTACACATAAAGCACGTTGTTTCGTCTCAAATAACTTACCTATTTATTACTTCACACCGTTTTCACAAAAATCTAATTATCTCGAAAGTGACATTTTTTGGGTTGGTTCTAGTTTGCATAGCTATGTCCAATTATCTAACAGAAAAAAATCTAAAACGTGGTTTGTTTTGGATCAGACGCGTGTCTGATGGGAGGTGGTCATCGACGCTCATGCATGTTTACAAAATCAGATTTTATGCGTTGCCAGCCTTTGACATCCACATTTTGTAGGTTCGAGGAATGATGCCCGCTGCCGCATGGTGTTACAATGCCAGGCATCTAAGATGTGGGGATGGACTCTACTCCTTTGGCGGGAGGTGCGATGGTTGAAACGAGACTGTGGCACCAGTAAGAAAAATTCCTCTGAGCACTCCTCATTATAAAGACGGTAGAACAGATAAAGAGAGCCAACGTCTCTCCGTAGGCTAAGGGGCTCCATACTGTCTGTTAGTTTGGGATCATCGACAATACGAACAGCCCTACGTTGGATGGAGTCAAGTGGGTCAAGCTGGTATCTGGGAGCTCCTGCCCAGAGTTGCGAGTAATACTCCATATGAGGCCGTACTTGTGTTGTGAGTAATACTGCTTCGCTCTATTGAGCACTCCGAGGTTTTATGAAGCTAGTTTGGGTTTTTCTTGTACTTACAGTAGGTGGAGCTCCTTTGCTATGTTGCTTTGAAGATTTAATGAGAAACAGCAGAGTGAGGAGTATGCCAATGCTTCTTTTTCGCGGCAACATTTTGACTATCTGTGAACAATAAATAAGACATTTGTTTATTACGTGAAATAGTACAACACCAACCATCGAGTATATAACCAGAAATAGAGACGAAATAAGAGCCATCCAGCCCTGGCAACTCATCAGGCAAATGGGCCTTATGTCACCGTTAAATATCAACTCTTGGTTGCGCTGAAATCACAAATTACAAATCTGAAATAGTACAGCGCCAACAACTGACCTATGTGTACGTTTCTGTACATTCCAAAAATATTCTATATTTATTGTAATAAAGATAATATCTCTAACAATGGGGGCTGTTCTATTCGGTGGTGTGGGAAAAACAGCAAAACATCTAATTACAAAACGAACGGAATCATATTTAACCGGCAATAAAATATTAAATATGTAATTTTACAATTATCGTCCATTATCTATAGCAAAGCTCAAGTTAAACAGGTAAGATTTGAAGTGAAACAATTGACGACACCCGTCAATTGTTTCGAATTCGGCCTGGGCAATAGGTGCGCAGTTGTAATGATTTGGCTGAATAGTTTTCAAACAAATTAAATGACATTTCGTCTATTTCTGGTTATATACTCGTTGACACCAACACGTCAGATACTTTTTGTTCTCGGGAATCGAATTAGTCTTCTCATGCAACGTCTTAACTTAAACTGCGCTGATTGTGAGTTGAGACCGCGTTTGCTTTGTTTATTTAGATGGCGTGACTTCTTTGGGTTCTTGGGTTTGGGTGGGTGTTCCGCAGGGCTCAATACTTGGACTTTTCTTATTTCTCATTTATAGTAATGATCTATAATTCTTTGTTAAGGACCTTTGCGAAATAGTATTGTTTGCTGAGACATCCTTGATTTTTAAAACAGACAGACATGACGTTAGCTATGAAAATATTAATGATACCCTTTCAAAGGTAGTTTATTGGTTTAATATTAACAATTTATTGCTCAATGCGAAGAAGACAAAGTGTGATAAATTTGAATTACCTAATGTAAAATCGATTACCCCAATCATAGAAATAAATGGAGAAAAGTTAAGACCTTGTTAATAAAGCTGTGTTTTTGGGAGTGACCATAGATAGTAAACTCCAATGGTTTTCACATATATCTTACTTGGCCAGCAGATTAAGCTCTGCTGCATTCGCAGTCCGTAGAATACGTGAACTTACCGATGTTGCTACTGCTAGACTAGTTTACTTTAGTTACTTCCATAGTATAATGACCTACGGGATTCTCATGTGGGGTAAAGCGGCAGATACACAAATCATATTTGTGTTGCAAAAACGAGCGATTCGTTCTGTGTACCGTTTAGGTCTCAGATTTCTCTCAGAGAAAAGGTTAAGGAGACTGGTAACATGACTGAGGCATCACAGTACAATTACTCAAATATTTTGTATGTCCGTAATAATATACATAATTTCGTTAAGAAAGAAGATATCCATGATATTAACCTTAGAACTAAGTCCAGTAAGATAAACGATTCTTTTATGGGGAACTGTATACTTTATTACAATAAGATTCTGGAGCATATATTAAGATTACCATTCTCTAAGTTTAAAACTTACATTAAAAACATTTTAATTGAAAAGTCATGTTACAAAATTGTAGACTACGTGTTATATAAAGATGTATGGAAAGACAACGTGAGTCTAGATTCCACACAAATATGATTCAAAACGTATTCTATACCATTTAAGTTTATTTGAAAAGAGCGATCCCTAGAGTTTCTTGCTCGTTCTTCTCAGGGAGGTTAGCGTAGTGAACGAGCAGTAGAGTAAAAAATTTACCTATGGAATAAATTATTATTTCTCTTTGATTTTGACTCTGGTGACTGGTACGTAATGTGTACCTTAGCTCGTTTAAATTGAAATAAATATATTATATGATAACTAGAAGTCAAAATAATAATGAATAATATTGATCTTAAATCAAGTGACGGGACGAACAAGTCGTGCGCCTACGGTAAGCGACACGTCTATCCATAGCAGCTGCAGTGCCACTCAGAGCTGTAAATCGCAAAGATTTCAAGGCACTGCCACTGCGCCCGTCACCCTGAGACATAAGTTGACTAGTCCCATGTGCATTTTTGTTAAATTTTTTTATTTTGTTTAATTTTTATGTTATACTTGTATAATAGCTGCCTAAACTTATGAGTGTATTATATACAATTTTACAGTCATGTCCGTGGGGTGGAGGCCTGGTGATCCATAACACAGGTTTTTTACCTAGCTTGGACACCAGTCTCCCATTTTAGCATTGTTTAAATTTATATCTGTACAAATTGCCATTTTAGTATTTGTAAGCTATTGGGAGAAAAAAAATAAAAAATAAATAATTGATGTAATTTCACCAGCACCCTTAGTCTTCAAAACCGGAACACAGTAATGGTGACATTACATGCTTGGCGGTAGAAATAGTTAAGATGGCAGTACTTCCTCGGACGAACTCTTTCACAAGGAGCTCTACTGCTACGTTTATTTATTTTTTCTTATTTCACCATAGCACAGCGAAGGTGAAACATATTCTTCCCCAACGGCCCTTTTCAGAGCCACCAAAATATGGTAACACCTGTACAACGCCACTGATAATGCTATATCAGTCGCTAAGTACTGGTACTAGAAGAATAAGAAGAGTGAATTTCTACAATAAAAGCTGTTTGAGACCGTAGTGGTCCAGAGGGCTTTAGAGGCGTGTCCTAAGTGGATAGTTTTCAAGTGACCTATGTTATAAAATTCAGATACTATGTGCAAAACTGAAGTTACCCTTTCTGACTTTAAACCGACCCCGGGTTCAGAAGCTACAAACCCGTTTTTCTGTCGTACAGCTAATCCGTCGAATCCAAGGATCTGCCCAATCCAGAATATCTCCCATAACAAACGAGGCTAAAATATGACCATCATGTGACAAGTCGTAAACTATGAAAGTGTAATGCAACGCCATTGTCACTTCGTTGTAATGTCTCGTTTCTATTAACTGTATTCGAGTTTTTTATTGTTTGTTTTTTGCTCTATAACCGTAATGAGTGGTGACGTGTTAAAATAACTTGTAGCCAGCCGTGACCGTACGTGTGGTCACGTAATCTTACTAGTAACAGTACCTAATATTGTAGTATCTCTGTACCTTTTTTATTTGGATTTTTATATCTTTAGACAGCAATACGTGTTAAATTGAAGTGTTTTCTATCAAATAGGTTATGGGCCTAGTTAGAAAAAATAGGTAGGGTTTGATCTCCTGTGTTCGTATATTTTCATTAGTTACAAACAATGCATTTATTTATGAGTGTTGTGTATTTAATAAAACAAATACTCGTAAAATACTTATTTTTATGTGCTGTTAAATAGCAGTTAACTAAATGCTGAACTAAATAATCGCCGTAAATTAAAAAAGAAATAAAATGTACAGTGGTTGTTGCTCTTATGTACTTATAACATCGTTAACCCGTTAGGTCTCTTCTAAGTAGAGGGTTTAGGCCGTCTCAAGTGTTACAAGGGCCGTGAACCTTCTTCGACATGCAGCTTACGTCATATTTGCCTTCATCGTTGGCGAGGTACTGCTACCAAACAATAATAAATATATGTAAGTTGGATGGTAAAGATATTTGCACATGGGGCCACAGGGATTTGAAGTGTCTACCTCTAAATTGAGATACAACGTTCTTCAACTAAGCTACCGTTGCTCTTTACCCATATAACGTTTAATTACAAAAAAAGCAATACACTTATATACTTTTATAATGAATGTGTATAAGTATTATACAATGTTTTGTTTATGTTATTTTTATTTTATATAATACACCAAGCACAAACTGTCTATTTTTTTCTTACAGTATCTTGTTATTTTTGTTTTAATAAAATATTGTTCTTTGTATTATATCTATTGTATTATACAAAAAAGAAAATAAAAATAAATCTTCATCAATAACTATACACGAATATTATCATACTAGTTAACTTGAGTAAGTGTTAAGTTATTCCAGGTTTTTCTGCAATATAAAGATAATCGAACAACAAAGAAGGACAGAGACACCAATACGACTTTTTAAAGTGAGGAAAGGAGATACCTTGTGGAATATAAGGAAGTGATAAATAGAAGGCAGTGCAAGACTAAATGTAATGATAAGGTGCCTACCAGCGTCCTGAGGCCTTACCATGAACTCTTATTACACTTCAGTATAGGTTCGTAATGACAAAAAACGGGATGGTGATATACACTTCACGTAGCACGGTGATTCACGCTCCATACTAAGGCGGTCATAAATACGTAACTCCGAAATTATTATTATTTTTTTATTTTATTACGTTAAAATATGATTAGGTAAACGTAAATTAATAAAATTATACATTTTAAAAAATATTTGACAATATTTAGGTGTAAAAATGTCTCGCAGTAATTTTGTTTTTAGACGATGTATCTAAAACATTTTATACTGCGACTTTTAATGGTAAAACTGTGTAAATAATGATTATTTGTATTAACAATAACCACAAATGAATAAATTAAAACAATAAAAATACATAAAAAAGTTCATTTTACAAAATACAAACAGAACACAAATTATACCAAAATACATTAAATCTCAACAATATTAACTTTAAATACATAACAAGTCTAATACAGCTTTTGACAGTACACCTTTTTTTTTAACAGGTAACTTTCGTAGACCTGTTATGAAGGGATCTGAATGAAGAAGCAGCCTATTTACTAAATCTGTGTTGGTCACAATGCGACTCATTTTACGCGTATGATTTTTTCTAAAAGACTTGATGTATTTGTTAGTCGCTTCAGCTGCTTCTTCAGACAACTCTCCGATTGACAACAAACCGTAATCTATAACATTAGCACCATGAATTAGAACTTTGTGAACGGAAGCAGGCATGTTATACCACGGATACTCGGCAACTAACTGCCGAGCCGTCTCTAAAGCGAACTCTTCGAAGTTCGTCTTATTAATATTATATCCCGAATTTAAACATTGAAGGATGATCCAGCAACGATCTAGGAGATCCTTCTTGA